AATCGGGTCACCAATATGAGATAGACAAGCGTTGGAGTCGACAGTGTAGGATCTAGAGAACGTTGGAGTCGAGTGTAGAATAAAGAAGTGTCGGGGTCAGCAATGTGGGATACGAAGTAGTCCGGGCGGATAATAGACGATCGAACGTATCCCAACGGTTATAAGCTACTTGGTAGTATAAGGCGTGGAAGGCCAGAGTGTTAGGGATAAATTAATAACGTGTTGAATTAGTAGAATATAAGTAATGAGTAAGTGACTCCCAGACAAGTGCTCTCCATCCATGAGTGCTTATAAACCAGTAGATTAGACCTAGAAGGACATAGTGTTATGAACAATTTAATTAAGTGCTGAAGGAGTGGATTATGAGTAATGGATGATTGAGTCCCGAACAAGTGCAGTCCAGCCATGAGCGGGTCGGTTCCAGAGTCGCAATCCGGCAGTGAGGTAGCCAGGTCCGGGAGTGTCTGAGCGTAGGCAGTCACTGCAATAAGGTCCTTTGTGAACCGGCCTTGGAAAGAGGTTGGCCAGTTAGGACAGACAGAGGGTGAACACACGTCCATGACCTTAGCCTGCTTTTGACACGCTCTGATGCGCACATGCTTAGTGGACACGGGAGACAACATGCGGCATGCCCCTGAGGCAGGCGAGGAACGCAGTCGTGTGGCCTTCTACATGGCTTAGAATACGAGGTCACGACGCACTCGTCCGAACTGAGGAAGAATAGTAAAATTGAGCGAATGAGATAAGTCCAGTTGGGCCAGTACCGGCTCTCTTTCAAATATTAACTCTTCCTTGCCTTTAGACGACAGTACGACCGTCGGTGCCTACAATGTTCACCGTTTACTAGGTTTGGATTCATAGAGAAACTGGGACCTATGTTTAGATGCCCATTTACATGCCCGACACTAACTTTCCTTACCACAGGTGATGCGGGCAGCACAACAATAGTGATCAAGTCAATAAATGCGAACACGCGAGTCCCAGAAAGTAATTGAGAAGAAGATGACTCAATCGCTGGGACAATACTTTTATTCGCCTGACGTTTCGAGATCCGTCGTGGACTTGTCAACAAACTATCCACGCGCAAGAAGGCAATTGGCGTTAATTGCCGTTGTATGTTTGCAGTAATGACTGTATCGCAAAGGAGTTATTGTTAAGGCTACGCCAGTTAACCCTAACGACTTCGATCTTACAGGCCCAGTTCCTTAGGAGATGCTAGAGAAGTCTTGTAGAACCAGAGTAGGAGAGGGTTATATTCTGTACAGAATAAGTAGAAGAATAGATAGTAGAAAGGTGGTTGAA